ATATATATATATATATGTCAAATGGAAAAGTCCAAGTATATAATATATTATAGTTGGCCCTAAACTCTCTTTTATAATATAGTAGAAAAATTTGTACAAAATAGAGATGATTATAGTCCAATACTTTTCGTTATATATATACTAGATTGGTATGGCCCGTGCCAGCACGGGCCCAACATGTAAGTTGGTGCATATTTGAATTTTTTATTCAAAAAAGATGAAATAATGCAAAGAAAATTCAAATTATTGGATAAACTCAGCCATACATGTATAAGAAGCAGTTATCTTTGATCAAGTATACTATGATATGAGAAGCTAAGAGAATAGTCATTTTCCAACTCAAGTAGATGAACTATGGCAGTAAATGATCAAACTTAAAAGTGTAAATTTTCTGAATATGCTTAGAAAGAAAAACGGCTGCTGCCAAAATATTCAGGAACAAGTCACCAAATAAAAAAGTACTAAAGTCTCATCCAAATATGAAATATAAGTTCTCCATAAATAAATAAAAAAGGAGAAGAAAATTGAAGTCTTTAGATTTAGATTAATAAAAGAACAATCTAACATCAACAATACTCGTGGTTTCTATTTCTTCACCAATCGTGAAACATAGAAGAAACAATCTAACATCAATGATACTCGTGGTTTCTATTTCCTCATCATGGTGAAACATAGAGTCACAATTTCTGTTCTGCCTTTGCTACAGTGAATCTTCTCAATGATTTTAGCACTATCATTAGCACTTGCAACTTTCACTCCCTTGTAGTTCTCTTCATTAAATATGCACATAGAAGAATCAGAATGAAATGTACAAAATTTTTAGAAGCAATATTAAAACAGCCACTGGGAAGTGCGAACCTCGACAGTCCAAATATTGTTAACTTTCACTTTCATACTCAACTCCAAGATCGAAGTGTCTTGCGCACCAAACATGTATTCCTGGAAGTACCATGTATTTAAGAAATATTGTTATGAAATAAACTATGACATCTTATTTCCTCAATTAAGTAGATATCCAAGGCAAAGGTTTAATTAGCAACTAATAACACATTAAAGAGAACAAAAATGATCTTCTCCATGAAATTATTGTTACACCAGATAGAGGAAACAATTTTAGTCTCAAGTCCATGTCATATGATGGGCAAATTAACTTGCAACACTCTTATCTCCTTTTCATCTTGAAAGTAATCAAAATTTGTGCCAAAGGTGGTTTCATTATTGATCGACTCT